GATGTATGTATGTATATATATGTATCGTATGTTCTGTTAATATTCATAGCACGTTAACGTTTCTTAGTTGGAGTTTAGAGTGTAAGCCACGAGTCGCGATCTTTCAGAAAGAAAGAGAGAAAAAAAGAGAGAGAGAGAGAGAGTATGCACGGCACCAGCAACTACTACTACTCCTACCACCCATGGGTACTTAAAACTCCTAAGACCGGTAACTCTTTGATCGTACGTTTAATGTGACGTCGGCTCTTTTAACAGCGATATAACGACCCAGAGACAGATAATAGCGTAATGGCGGTCGCAGAGAGTGGGAGTGGGAGGAGGGGGAGGAGACAGATAGGATATACTATATACTAGCTGGTAGTTGCTCGAGATAGGCACGTTCAGGGAGACACGCGGAATACGAGCCTGATTGCCAAGGAGAGAAATCCGCGCGACTCGAGTTCACCTTCTTCGAAGGTGTCCCACCTCCCCCCTAAACCACCATCACCATTACCTTCCTTTCTCCCCTTTAGTCAGAGTCAGTCTCTCTCTCTCTTTTTCTTTCTATTGCGTTTTTTCATCGCGTTCTCACCTATTGTTCTTCTCGCAAGATCCCCGCCACCGTTGATTCGAGCAGAAGAGGCCTTTAATAAAGCTTTAATGCTTAGAAGATTTTTATCGTTTGCGTATATCTCTTAGGTAAATCGTAACGAACGCTCCAAGGAGGATTAAATAAAAAAACAAACGAGATCCCCCACCATTGGGAGTGCCTTCATGGCTCGTGAACACGGTATACCGATAGAGAGAGAGAGAGAGAGAGAGAAAGAGAAATATAGAGACCGAAGGAGAATAGCCTTGTTTTCCACAGCTCCTCCTCCTTTCTAATGAAAAAGAGAGATCGAACGATTTTCTTCTTCAGTTCTGTTGGAATAACAATAGACATTACGTTGGATAGGTAATTTTTCTCTTTTCAAATTGATCGTTAACGCGTGGCATTGTTTTAACACGAAAATTACCGATTAAAATTAATTATTTTTTACGTATATATTATATATATATATATATATTTACATAGTATGCATATACTAGTTTATCGAAAGATTTACTACATTTAAATTACTTTGTTTTTTTTTATTAGCTATAACAAGGATCGAACGATAAATTTGATTTCGTAAGTAAAATATCGTTGTTAATATCTCCGAGGTCTTTTAGTAATTACTTAAGAAAAGTTGTATAATAAGGATTCGAAAGACGAATAGTAAGATAAACGTCGTGTAGGAGGCAAGTCGTTAGGGTATGGCAAACTACTTTGGCCGTTCGATCGTTAAAATGTCGTAAAATACGGTAGGAACGGAATCAAGAGAGATAAATTAATACGTAACATATATATTTTTTACGCGTGTCCTATGAAAAGTCGTTAGTTAATAACTAAACGTAAATGCGTAAATGCGTACGATTAATTGTCTGTTGTCACGTTTACCTTTATTTCTCGCAAATTTATACCATAAAACAGTAATGTTAATAGAAGATAATAGAAGAGAACACAGTAGTATGTATGGTTGGTTAAGTCACGTAGAGAGAACGTTCTTTATCGAATCCTCCCAGGGAGAGCTCGTTTATGGGGACACCTGGTCGTACGCATCACGGTTAATTTGCACTCTCCATGAATTTTAACGAATCCTCGCATTAACGTTACCTACCGTCGCTTGACGTTCCAATGATCGTGACTTCTTGTTAAAATTGCTGTTAAAACTCTAAATCAGATTTATCGGCGGACTATCGTAGTAACGTACCAATTTTATCCTTGCTTTCTAATATCAAAGAAGAATTTTTTTTTCTTTTTTTTCTTTTTTACTACATATATATATATTTAAGACAATAAATAACGAAAATTAATCCTTCTATTTAGTTTATCAATTATCAGAAGATGACGATAAATAAAACTTATCTTTCAGTGGGACGTTTTTCTTCCGATAAGCCTTAGCTACTTACTCACGTATATACTTTGCGTGCACGTGTGCATATCGATTGCATCGCGAGAGCACTCGCCAAGATCTCATGTAAATCATCGACAAAGAGAAAAAGAAAAAGAGAGAGAGAAAGAGATGTATATATATATAATACTATAACCACTCCTTTCTGCGAAACGTCAGCAAAAAAACAAATTCGCATTAGAAAATGAAGAAAGAGCCTCATTGCGAGACAACGCAACCCTTTTCTCTTCACTTAAGTTTCTCCATCTTTTCTAACGGGGCATACGTGAATCTTCCAAGTAATAAAGTCTCGATCCCACGGCTCGATAAAAAGAAATTCTCGTTTAAATGGCTTGTACCGTTCTTATTACGCTTATTCGCCTACAATGCATCCACGCTTATTGTGTGTAAAATCGTGTAACGCGAGCTCAAAGAATAAAAGGCCCACCATCTCGTGTTCGAGGAATAAACGATCGATCGATATATATATATCGATCCTTAAGCTTGATAAATAGAATACAAATTTACGTATGTAAAAATATGCGAATATCGTTCCTATTTTTTCCTAAAACGATAAATTTGAAAATATTAAAAAAGAATAACGTTTTCGATCCTCGTAAAGTATCCTAAACTAGATTAACGTTAAGTACTTCTACTTATTTTTACGAGCTATAATTCTTACCATACAATTCTCTCGGATCGTTGTTTTATTATAAACTAAACATTCTAAACGATAAGAAAAGAAGAATACTTTGCCAACACTAACTCTCCGTTTAACTAATATATGACGGGGATTGAAATAATAATCTTTAATAAAATGCAACATCAGAGATGATACTTTTTCATTTGAAATTCCAAAAAAAAAAAACAAAAAAGAAAAACACGTTCAATGATATTCACAACGCGTGAATATTTCACGTAGTATTTTTTCTACAGATGAAAAATTAGATTTCGTTCGATTGGTTTGAATATGACGATATCTAAGAAGAACGAAGACGTGTCGTTTGTAAGATGCGCCATGCTGTCTACTACGCTCAGCTAAAGTCGACCTCGATGAGCAACTCCTCATTGGCTAAGATCCAAACGTATGTTTTCTAGCAAGCTTTTAACACACTCCTGCTGGATGGATACGCGCGTCTTATTCTCAACGTTTACTCCACATCACTTTTAAAGACTCAGGCTAAGCCCAGGTGCCATGTTTTCGCGTGAAAACGAACGAGCGAACGAATAAGCGCGAGTTTTAGCTTTTGACCTCCCTTGCACTCTCTGATTATTCTTAGGCCTCCTCGTCAGCCTGCTCCAATTTATCTCTCGATACGTTTTATTACTACGCTAGTACTCGATCCTATGCTGTACTATGCTATGCTATGCTATGCTATGCTATGTTATGCGAATGATCGAATTTAATTTAGTTTAGATTAATCCTTCATCCTTCCCACCCCCAAAAAAATAATTATTCTTTCATTTCGCGTGTAGATATTATTAAACGATTAATTAATATTATAACTATATACGTGTATAACGTATTCGTAGATATTCGTAAAAGTATTATGTGAAATTTGTTAACACGAAAATGGAGGATACAAGAGGACAGTCATAGTTGATTTGTTTTTTTCCTCCTCCACGTATGCACATACATCATGTAACAACAATTCGTTGCATTTTTATGTAATTTAACAAGAAACGTTTAAAAGAAGTTAAGTATATAAAAAGATGCCGTTAACATCGAATGCACCAGAGCTCCTTTCTTACTGGACGGCGTTAATTTTCCATGGTGTTTACCGCAATTCCACCGTCGGTTGCCTTCAAGTATTTTTTTTTTCTTCTTTTTTTTTTAGATATGCGTAAGATATTTTCCTACAATTATTTATTATTCGATCCTTCCAGGTAAAGATTATTTGGATCGATTACGTACGACGATTCAATTTAATTCGAAATCACGCGATGTTGTCTAGCAACTAATTATTACTTAGGATAGACGAGGTGGACGAGGTGGACAACGACGAGGAGGAGGAGGAGGAGGAGATGGAGGAGGAGGACAGCCGGTTATCAGCGGATTTCGTTAGCGGTTGCTCGTCCGAATCGGATGGTAAGCTAGCCTTTGTGTTTTAGACGGATTACGCACGCAGTTCTCGCTAATTGCATACATTCTAGCCGATTATTACGCTTTGTCGATCGCCACGATCGCTCGAGCGGAAGATCGTGCCCGTAGAATGGCTGAAAAGTGGGATCACGCGTTACGTAATTTAAATAACATCTTTCTTTTACTCATCTCATCGATATCGGATCTATATTGTCTCGGATTGTTTCATCTAAACCAATTATTGCATGTGTACATGTGTACGTGTGCATGCATATACCCTGCTGAATTAAAATATCGGCGCAGATTATATTTTCCTTACAACATAATCCGTACGATTTTATATTTTTTCTTTTTTTAATATATTTTCCAAAGTTATATTGCGCGTATCATAGAAATTATTACAACATTGATATATTATAATAAATACAAACAATAATGAAAAATATAAAAAGTTCCGTTTGAGCGTAAAATTGTTTTCGTAATTATTATTCGAAACTTTCATTTTCTTTTCTTTTGTATACTTTTATGCACATTACAAAGTCTGGTTTAATCTTTCTCGCTTACAATAAAGATATATTTTACAAAACAAAAATATCCTACTCTACTCATAAAATTACCGAGAATGTTATAAGAAAAATGTAATCCTTGCCGATTAGTTTGATAAGTCCCCCATTACAAAACACAGATTCGTGACTCTATTCGGATAAATTAAAAAAACAAAAAAGTAATATTATACTTTCTCCTTCTTCATATTCATTTGCCTATACAAGCTGATATCGAGTCGATATCCATGAACACCTTGAAGGTAGCTTTAAAAATAATTAAAAAGAAAGGCGTATGATGATAAATAATATCGATATACGTGTATATCGTGTTTTTTTCTTTTTTCTTTTCTTTTTTTTTTCTTTCGTGCGTGTACGTGTGTCTGTACGCGCGTGTAATTTCTAACCACATAATAATATTACCTTTTCCATCAAAGTAGAAGGAAAAATCAAGTTTACGCCTTTGTATCGGCGACTTGTGTCGTAGATCTGCCGACAAAGAAACGCTTCGGAACTGGATCTGCTCACGGAGTCGGCTGTCCTCGGATTCGTACGACACACACACACACACATACAGACACGTACGAAAACGACACGACAAAACGAACAACGTGACAACGACGATGAACAATAAGATTTTCTAGGATGAAACGTAAGGGCCGAGAATCAAGAAGATAAGAGGAGGATGACTGAGGAGGAGGAGGAGAAGGAGGAAAAGGAGGAGGAAGGGGTGGTGGAGAAGGAGGAAGATCGCGGACCACGTGAAAGGCGATTTAAAGGCGGTGTAGAGAGGGGGTGGCCTTTAAAAAAAGGAAGGAATATGGCGAACCGGTCGCAGCCTCCGCTCGTCAGCTGAGAGCTCAGCTGCAGCCGGGCGCGGTGACCTCGACGATGCTTCGCGGGAAACAGAGTCAATTTGCAAAACGATAACGGTTAAACCCTTCTCCTCCTCCTCCTCAACCTCCTCTACACCATCCTCTATTTCGTTATTTCGTCTTTAAACGCTTTAGAAACTCTACTTCCCTTTTATCGATATCTTTACTAATCTATTTCCTTTCCTTTCCTTTTCTTTTTTTTTTTTTTTTTTATTTCTTTAGTTTCTCTCTTTATTCGGATTCTTCGAAATGCAGTACTCCTCTTCTCTCGAGACGTACTCGAGACGCATCGCGACTCGATCGTCCACTTTTTGCGCACCCCAGGTTCTCTATTCTCCTTTCAACCTACTTTTTTAAAAGCAACTTGCTGGATGAGGAAGAGATATGTAATTTAAAGGAAATAGAAGATAAGGTATAAAGTTAGCTTATTAGGATTAATAGCTCGATCTCTCGCTTTTGGTTTATTCTACTCAAAGGAGAGAGAGAGAGAGAGAGAGAGAGAGAGAGAGAGAGAGAGAGAGATAAAGAGATAAAGTGAGAAAGAAGATTCGAAAGATAGAACCTGTCCAGGAAATGCAGGGACAACAAGAAGGACATGCAATGCCGGTCTTGGAACGGCCGGCCGTCAGCTGAGAGCTCAGCTGAACGCGAGGATCACCGGCGTAACCTCAAACCCGCTTCGTACCACTACCAACACACAACCATCGACCACCAACATCATCACTATTCTCACCATTTTACTACACTATCATCGTTGTCGTCACTGACATTAGCAGTACCAACCATTAATGCATTATTTCTTCTACTATTGCTATTCTACTACTATTACTGCATTATTGCCTTCTTATCCTTGGTAACTCCTTGTTTCGATTCTCTATCAATTTCTATCTAACTCTCTCTCTCACACATTTGCTTATTCATTCGCTCTCTCTCTTTCTTTCTTTATTTCTTTTTTTCTTTCTTCTGCTCTCTCTCTCTGACACATACACTCTCTCTCTCTCCCTCACGCGCGCTCCTCATTCTTGATACCGCTCTAGTGAGTCGTCCTAACAAGTACAAAAAAAAAAACCTAATGAAATAATGAAGAAGACATGGATACCTCGGTTTTTTCTTCTTTCTGATAGATCCGAACAGATGTACGTGTTCAAAAGGCGCGAAAAGCAACGTAGCTCCTTCCAGTCGAAACTTTTTCAAAGCCCACTCTCACACAATGGAATCTTCCAGTAGACTGACCGAGCCGGCGAGCCGTTCTCTCCTGCGTGCACGCCCACCGTTACCTACGAGATCTCTCGATTTTCAAAGTAGACTATTATCGTACTTCCTTAAACGAGAGATTATCGTTAACGTCAGCCCGTTTACGCGTTTAAATTTAACCGATTTCGGGGGGACCGGTCGTATCCTTATTTCCAAGAGAAACGGCCGCGTAAACGCGCTCCGACAGTTCTCGCCGAGCTGTCACTCCGCGAGCGAGCCGCGCGCCATCACAACGACATCTGACGGCTAATCTTAGAATTTAACTAAGATACTCGCGCCCTCCCGTCCTACCGCCTAGCAACAGGATCGATAGGCCTATCGACGAGTTACAAACGAGAAACGCCTCTCGTTATTCGAACCTTCTTCTACTTCTTCTTCTTCTTCTTCTATTCACCAACAGGATTCTACTGATCGATTTATTTTCAATTTTCCCGCCACCCACTTTGTAATCACCTCTTACAACACATTTTTTGTAAATTTGTAATCTTTACTCTCTACTATCTTTACAGAATAAGATTTTTGTTCTCTTTGTGTTCTTTTTTCTTTTTTATTGTAACAATCGTATACAATTTTATATGGGGTGTATACAATCACAGGATACTCGTAACAATAGATTTTATAAACATTCGCCTTCTCTTTATTCTTTTCTCTTTTTTTAATTTTTTTTTTTTTTATTTTTAATTTTTACTAATATAGATATAACAACAGATCTTCGTTGAAACTTTCTTTAATGTTTTCTCTAACAGCCGATTCGAGTGTCAAATTCTTACATATTATTATTTGTATTATTAGTAGTAATAGTAGTAATAGTAGTATTATTATTATTATTATTATTATTATTTGTGCATCTACTATCACAAAAATTTTGATGAAACTTTTTCATTGCATATTCATTCAATTTCTGTATACATTTATTCTTAATCGAATAATTATGTTACTTATCCTCCTTTTCCCTATCTATTTATATATTTATATCACGGAATTATGTTTCCAACGAATTGATTATAATTTACAAACGTTTCATCGATTTGTACTACACATTTTTATAGTAAAGTAAGGTTTTTCCTTGTAAAAGAAAACGAACCCTTCTATATAACTCACTCTACGTTGATTATGGAAAATGTATTTACAAAAGAGATTAAAACTCGTGTATATATATATATATATATTTTTATCGAATCGAAATTGCCGATGAGAGAGAAAGTTTCTTTCCGAAGATTTAGGGAACGACAATGTCTTCTAACGAAAATCCTAAAGATGATACTTAACGTGGTTAAAGATGGTAAATGCAACAACTTTAATGAAAGTATAGTTAACGTTATATCATTTTGACTATTACCCTTTTTTTTTTTAACACAACCAGGAAATTGTCCTGCCATGGAATGCTTGCACTACTGATATAATATTACGTATTAACGAAGTAGCGAATATTAGTCACTTCTCCGTCGATAATAATTACGTTAATCTTTTTTTAATCCTCTGCGCGATCGCGGAAACAAGCGCTGCACCCTTTCCACTCCCATCCTCAACGTGAATCAATTTGAACTAAGAAGAAAAAGATGTGTGAGAATAAAGGAAAATAAATATAAAAGATGTGGAAAGATTCAAATGATCGAGCATAATTAATCAATCGGAGCATACCTTACGACTAGGGACAAGCAAAGCAATGTATTGATTCATCCAACTTTCGAATCGAGGATGATGTTTATACAGAGATCCATCGATCGCAATCGTCACATCCTTTTTATCAATTCGTTCCAACAACGCCGCAAGACCTACGCAAAAAAGCCCAATAATTTTAGACATCTCTTTCTATTATTAATACTAACAGATATTAATAATTATCAGCTTACATATAGAAACGAGAAGAGCAGCACGATTAGAAACAACTTCGCACACGTATTGTACTACGTTTATGTCATCTTCCGTTGGAATGATATCATATTTTGCTAGAACTTCTTTTGTATTATCGGTACTGCCATCTACGGTGTCTCTGCAGATCGAATAATTATTCAAATAATTAGAATTTAAAAAGATCATATTTATTTTAATTTATTATTAATACTTACTGTTCAATATATGATACCAAATCTGAGGTAAGCGTTCCTGGTATGAAGAAAGAACGCGCTGGATCTTGATCTACAAATATAAGTCCTTCTTTTGCGAATTTAGCGAGCACGATACGTACTATTTCACCGAGATACTTTCCACCGATATATTTTTCAAATCTAGGATATTTAAGAATATCTTTTTAGTTTCGTACGAACATCTAGCAGGATGTGTTTTTTATGATATATTATTAAATGTCAAATAATGATTGTATAATAATACCGGGACTTACGTAAACGAATTTACGAGAAGCGAATTTGCGTCATTCTCGCGATCGAAGTCTGTTTTAATAAAGTCTAAAACACCGTTATCACCGAAGGCACCCCATTCGATATCTATCACGACCTAACAAATAAAAATCAAATCAGTATATTTACAAAAATATGTTTATTAATGAATACTAACTTCTCTTTCTCCATGTCTTTCTGGTTCCCAATGTTCGACCCTGTCAGCTCGTTCAAGGTAGCAAGCATTGCTACCTGTACCCAGGATGAGCCCAATAGCTGTATTGGGATCTAACGTGGCTCCTTGTATGAGAGTTCCTGTGGTATCATTCAACACTGCTACGACTCTTACTTTGGTATCACCTCGACGAGCAAGTGCATCTCGGAGTAATTGAACTGCGTCCTTATTCACAACGTCTGGACAATTGAAACTCTTAGTCCATGTCACCAAAATTCCAACATCGAGAGAGTGTTGAACCATTGGAAACGAAAATGTAAATCCTAAATTGAAAACGAATATTTAATGAGATTAATTAAATTACGTAATGTGGAATTAATATTCATTGTCGTAAAAATGGATAATTACAAATTACATGCTGTATATACCAAACAAATACTTTTGTAACGACTATTAAAATATAATTGTATAATAACGATGGAAATCATTTACGAAACTTTCACAATGGACGAATAATAGAATTTAATTTACCTAAAGGAACTTCGACATTCTGAAGACCCTGGCCAATAACGAAATCACTGACGCATTCGGCTAAATAATCGAACAGACGAAGACCCGGGCCAACCCTTAATTCAGATCCGATGTGATAATTTTTCACTTCCTCCCTAACAACTGCGCCATTCTTCAATTCCAATAAAAGAATTCGAAAATTAGTTCCTCCAAGATCTAGCGCTAAAAAAAGTCCCGCCTCTGAAAATAATATTACATAAATTAATTAATCTCCACGGCAAATGAAGGACACAACATAAGTTGGGGCTTGTTATGTTTTTATACAAATATTTGTAAAAAAAATATGTACCTGTTCCATTAACGAGTTCCGGTACGTAAGTGTTTTCCATCTGTAAGGATGACGGTTCTTGATGGATACCTTTGTTCATTTCTGAGACAAATGTATCTTGAATCTTTTTAACAGTCGTTGAGGAAAAACGCATTGGTGCTAATCGATTTTCAATCTAAAAAAAAAACATTTCCTTGAAGTATGTACGATCAAACAAGAGAAAAGGGAGAGCGAGAGATGATATCAATCGAGAAGAAAGCATTTGGAAATTACTAAAAGTATTATTAGAAATCATAATGAGGAATCGTTATGCGAAGGATTTACTAGGAATATTTTCCTCGTTCTATAAATCTTTCGAGGCCTTAGCAAACCTACTATGCATCGTGATAGCACTACTACGTGTTCGCGTTCGTATTAAGGATGCTATTGTTTACTTTGTTACGCGTTACGTATTATCTAATGGGATTCTAATGGGTAAACCGGAAGTAACTGTAAACTCGTGTTAATTGTTGTTCATCTAGTCTTGTGTAGATCGGTAATATATTATATTATCAAAAGTCATAATAAAATAAAATTGGTTTCATCGTCAAAAACAATCATTTCATTCTCTATCTATATATCTATAGGGTGCACAAACACTGGGTAAGATAAAAAAAACAGTTGTTATACGACTCCGTGATACGAGCGTATCACCTCTGTGAAAGTAAACCGGTTATATCGCCGCATCGGCTTCTCTTCTGATGTGAAAGAAACATGAAAGAAATAAAAGATACGACTTTTCCATCAAAAAAAGAAACAAAAATCAAACCAAAATCTACTTATCATTTATTGCTTGCCAATAAATAATATAACTATCGTAATTGTTATATTGTTTTCTTAATAACATCCCTTTAATAAGGGAAGATTAAGATAACGATTAAAAAAAAAAAAAAAGAAAAAAATACGCGAGATAGATAATAATTCCTAGTATTTCTATAATTTTTATTTAACACGTGTCTACAGTTTACTTAATCTCGAATGTCTTGCAATTTCCGTGTTATCTTATATTTAATAAATTGTGAATATTAGGATATCAAAAAGAGTTGAGAATTTTATTATGATAACCCTATGATTCTTTGAGGGCAAGATAAGAAATCCTTACTCCTAGAAACAACAACAATAATTTATAATCCAATTTAAACCGCTTTAAGCTTTCATAACGTCGTTAAATAACCGAGGACCATAATCATTATAAAGAAAATGATAAATATCGCAATCGTAATCGTATAAGATAAACTATTTGAACTTGTAATTTTTCGTTTGTGGTTATATAAAATATATAATATTATTCAATCGAATATAATTCAAATAGACATTAAATCTAAGAAATATAAATTATACTTGGCGTATACAGTTAGGAAAAAAGAAAGATATTTAACAGTTTGTTATCCTCAGGACATGTAATGAAAGCTCTACGTTACACGAGCGTTAATAGATCTATCCAAAGGATTTAAAATAAAGTAATTTATACCCCAATTGACGTCGAATTAACATCGTTTGCTATCATATAAGATCGTTTCGAGTTGGCAAGCTCTTAATAAGAAGGTCGGAGGGTTAAGAACCACGATCGCTTCATTCTTCGATGAACATCGTGTGCTAACTTCGTATAAACTCTATTAAATATGATATAAATATATATATATATATTTCATGATAAGTAACCAATATTCACGCAATAATAATAATAATCATCGTCGTCGTCGTCGTCATCCTAAAGATTTGTCGAGACCTATTTATCACCATGGTTTTTCATCAATCTCATCGTTTGCGCATATAAGAAAGGTTACGAGTTCACGTACATCAAGATAATATGTTTAATATAAATAATTGTATTATATCGAATCTACTTACTTTTTGTTTCCTAATATCGTTCGATATTACAAGTGGCGAAACCTGAATGGCCTCGTGAAGCGCGTGTTCCGCCGGTACCACCATTTCTTTAAACAACTGAGATTATCTGAAAAAGTTAATACGTAAATTTATTAGATAAATCAATTTCAACATTTAACGATATCGTTAGTAGATTTTTTTCCAAAGAATATGTATAATATATGAAGAAGGATAATGAGTTATCGAAAATTGTAACGTCTATCTTATTTGATACTGAAATATTCCCTTATTTTTTTTTCATCACACGCGCGCATATGTTTCTCATTATATAAAAATATATGTATATATATATTTATATTAATTAACGAAAAGTCGAAAGTCCATAGAATTTTACGCATTTCGATAACATGAAATAATGACCTCGTAAATCTTGATAACTCTATACTTTTTTTCGCTCTGAAATGTTCTAAGTTGTTTTCTAAAGAGATAGATTGGTAAGTTTTTTGAACGTGATTAGGATACAACTGGCGGAGAATGAGATACTTACGAAATTCTTTCAAATTTCATCTCAAATATTATTCTGAAGAGAGAAAGAGAGAAACTATGCTTGGTACAAGTTTTCATCAATATAAAATAATAAAAAAATAAATATTTCTATATAAATGTAATACTTGAAGTATAATAAAAACTTATTATAATCATAAAAGATATTCAAAATATGGTTCTATCAATATAGTTTCGTTACATCAACTACGATTCTATTCGTAATATAATATCATGTTTATATTAAAAGCAATGATATTCTAGCAGAAAACGTACCGTGATTTCTAAAAAAATAACACTCGTGAAATATTCCTCAAGATGAATAAAAAATATTGAATGAAGAATAATCGTTGATTCTTGACGAATATTTCAAATACAACGAAGAATACTGCACATGATTTTTTAAATTGTCTTTCTCAAAAAAAAAGAAAGGGAAAAAAAAAAAGAAAAAAGCACAAAAAAATAAATCTACGTTTGTAATTTATGTATCACGATCAATAGAAGAAATATTCTTTGATTGATGATACGCGATCTAAACGATATTTACCTTACGTTAAATGATCTTTCACTTTTCATTGAATATTTGTATCGTAAAAGTGATCGAATTAGACGGAATCATTAATGAAATTCGATATGAATCATGTTTACTCCAATGAAGTATATGCATTGATAGTACTACATTGACAACTTACACGGATATGAATGTAGATTTATCTGGAAACGTGGTCGCACTTGTCTACACGAATATCGTCAGTAATTCGCACGTGCTGCGCGATCAAATGCAAGATCACGACTGACGTGAGAGCCTCTCGTCGTTTGTAAAAGCTCAACCGTTCTAACTTTGTTTGACCGGTCTGAAAGTTCATAAAACATTTTATCAACAACGATAAACAAAACGGTTTAAAACGTAACTGATAGAGTATCTCTTCAAATAACGCATTATTAACCGCGAACCTTGTTTATTATTCAAATTATAATCTTATACACAGATCCCCAGAAGGGAACAAAAATTTGTTTAAACAATAAAATTTGTAAAATCAAATAAAAATATTTGCGACGAATGAAAATTATTATACATGTAAAAAAATACACAGATAAATATTTTGTCTCGTAATTACGAGATTAATTTGTGATCTCCATTGAATGCCTTATCGTATAATTAATAATAATAATAATAATAATCTTGAACAACAAATGCGACACGATTCTTTTCTTTTAACAGCCGATTCGTTTCGTTAATCTCGTACAACAATACATAGGTAGATTATTTACTTATCGTGCACGAAAATGAATGTACAAATGCGGAAGAAGTTGGGACGAAAAAAACGACTAACAAAATATAATCGAATAAAAAGAAACCACGAAAAAAGTTAGGAGGACGTTCTTGAAAGGCGAACAGCAACGCGAACGAGTCTTCATTAAAATCAATTGGAAGGTGCAAAGCGTTAACCGAGATAATTCAGCCAATTGACCCTACGTGATGATCGTAATCTAAAGTGCAATGCACGTACTACTCGTCATTCCCAGCAACATACTTGTAAGTAATGTAAGCTTAACGTGTACTCAAAATTATAATTCAAATACTCGAAAGATTAAACAGGAAATACAAATAATTTTTCATATATATAAACATACATTAATTTGATCGAAATTGATTGTTTTTTTAAATAAGTATGTGTCTAGTAAAACTCGTTAAGTTCATATGTACTCGCGAAGTAGTCGTTTTATTATCGGAAATTACCAAGGCATGACTATTTACTATTGAACTTCGATAACTCAGGGCTGACCATTGCAAAAGAAAACTTTGTTTTCATTCTTAAAGTTAATTCGAAATTACAAACAAGCTCTCTTCGATTAACAAAATTGATGATCACCCAAGAACCGCTATTTTGTCACGCTAACGTCAAATTAACTATTCTGACATAATCATATTGACGATATATAACAAAGATGTGCCATCGAGTCGACAAGAAAGAAATTCGATCCGATAGATCGTAAATTACAGTGTTAAGCGTTATTACGACTCACAATAGTTATATTAGATATATCTTTTCGATCCTATCTTCGATTCGTCTACCATAAGACACAGATAAAACAATTGTATTATTATTTTTTATTCTTTTCTCTCTCTCTCTCTCTTTCTTATTTTTCTCTTTTCCGTTTTTTCCAAAAACATTACAAAGAATATCTAATAATCGATACATGTCGCGCATTCGATCGATCTTCATCGAATTAACCGAATAGCTTCTAGGAATAATAATGACTTGTTAATTAACACGTGACGCAATTAAAGCATACTTTGCACAAAAGAATAAATCTATTCGAACGAATCTACTTGAAAACGTTATATTATCGATCGATAATATCGATTAACATTAATTTAGAATATAAAAATTAAAATATAAAGAAAACAAACGAAAGAACGAGATACATTCCACGTAATTATTAACACGAGATATACATACACGTATGTTATTGCATTTTGTTAAATATATATAATAGCTTGATCTATCATTCATCGTAAGTTATAAAGCTTCCATGAATAACGAGACTATTACTTAACAAGGTCATTCATAAATCTGAAACGAACGAATTATTGCGTTACAGAGAACGATTCTACAATATTCATTTTATTATCACGACTTTTTTTTAATTCTCTTTTTGACTAATTCCAACGAAAGTGTTACGTAAATTATTAAGATAGTAATTAAGAAAAAGTAATAATAATAAATAAAACATAACGTGAACGTTCGAACAATCAAAATCATTCGAGCTGTCTTTCTCGTTAAACGATTCTTTCCACGCGAACATCCATTTACTACATTCCATTCTATTTCTATTTTTTCAATTCTCTTTCCATTCTATTTCTATTTTCCTCTATTTTCTACTACTTGAGTATGACGATTGGAAAAAAAAAATAAAAAGCATACAAAAATAATTTGGTATTACGAAATCAAACGATAAAGAATCCAATAACATGATAAAATTATATTAGTAAAGACCATAATGTATCTAGTTGATTCGTCTGCGATAAGATGATTTCATTTACCGAATCCTTCTAGTACATAATATATATGCTAAGCTGTCGCATTAATTATTGTCATTTACTTATTAATAAATCAACATTTTCTACGATCAACACAGGTATACGTTATCTTTGATTTATATCTATCATTTTATTTTAAACAAAAGATACTTCCGGGATCGTAAATCTGATTAATAACCAGACAGGTGAAATTATTTTACCATTATGTGGTACATTAACTATTTGTAAGGACATTTCAAAAAGCGATAACATGAAAAGATTAAACAATTCAAATTTATATTTTCTTCAGTATTTTTCTGTCCGTAAAAACGCGAAACAAACTAAAAATATACAATTTTCGTTCCCTCTTAACACAAATTTGACTATAAACAAATACTTAACGTTCATCTGAAAATAAAAGAAATTAAGAAAGTTAATATAACTAATTCGATAAATAGAAAATACTTTGACAATCATAATAATCGATTAATCAGTTTGAAAACGCTTCTTGTAATCATTTACTATTTTGTAATATCGAAAGATCGGTGTCGGGAACATATACAACGAAATGCTTTTCAAGGACACACGTGGGTTTTCCTTATTAAAGTAAACACATTTAAACTTATACGTCATTTACAAATAACAAGAACAAAATCGACATTAACTCTCGATACAAATTATTGTACAAGTTTTTCGCTATCTTTATTAATAATTATCATAATAACTTTTAATCGCATACAATATATAACACACGATGACTAATTATATATTTTCTTTACATTTCAGATTAATTTGTAATTTAGTCGTTTGTTTAACTTCATTATTTTTTATATGACTTGAACATAATAATAATCAACATCATTTCAAATCTTTCTACCGTTATAAAACAATAAAATCATACATTTTTCGAGATTTTAAAGTCACATTTCGACGGTCCTTCAACGAAGTTAATATTCCATGAATTTACTCTGTCAGTAATTATATCGATACCATAAACGATAACATTTATACTTCGAAGTAATACAATAACACAATAAAAAGAAGAAAATAAAACATGTTAACGAATGAAACAAAAATTAAATTAAAATATAACGCGTATCTATAAATTAATTTATAATAAAAATAAGAAAAAAAAAAAAAAGGTGTTTCTATCAACTAACGCTAGGCGGGAATAATTCGAACATTCAAAATATTTCAATATAATAATTAACATACATTGACAAATCTAAACAAATAAATAAATATTATGCAAAGTCATATATAAAAATGAAAATATATCGCGAAGTTCTAAGAATCTTCTTTAGCCTTAGCTTCGAGACGTGCGTGTAATTAATTACAAAAACATTGAAATATCGTAAGAAACGATATTATCGAATCTCTCACCACTGAAAAGTTTAATGTTGATCCTCTTTCTCTCTCTTTCTTTCTTATACATATGCACCCACACACACACACATACACTATAAGTGAGTTTTCATACAGAACTTACTAACGCGCAATGTAAATACAATTAATTAAGTTAATTATTTAAATTATAATAATTTTAAACGAATGAACAAACTAAGTAAATGAATGAAGGGATGAATGAATAAATATACGAACGTACGAACGAATGATCGAACGAATGATCGAACGAATTATCGAACGAATTATCGAACGAACGAACGAACGAACAAACGAATAGTACCTATTCCAAAGCAAACGCGTACGGACGCTCAACGAGTGCAATGCCACGAAATGTATATGCGCATGTATGCGCTACCTCGCCGATACTTGCTTACTCCCACTCCGTTATTATCGTTGACAAATCAGAGAGCAAGATACGCAACCCATCAAGTTTACCACCACTTACACTCCTGCATACCCGGTATCTCGTGTGACGTCACGTAAACGCGCGAGAAATAGAACTTGCATACGTCTCACGCTGTGTATATGTGCATGCACGTGCTACATAAAATTACATATACACGTACGATCAAAGAGATAGATGCTTGTGGCGGGAAATTTTAAACATTTCTTAATTATTCGAAACACATTAAAATTGTTGTTTTTTATTAATTAATTTTTTGTTAAATATGCGCAAGTCATATGTTAATTTTATAAAAGTTATATTAAATAATACGGACCGTAGGAACGATGGAATGGAAAAGATATATTCGAAATATATTTATTATTATTTTTTTTTTCTTTACTATTATCAGTTTCAATAACTTATTATCTTATTATCTTTTATATACATTAACGAAATATTTTTAAATCTAAAAATCTATACTATACTTTTATATTAATAATATTAAATAAAAATATTTGTTAGAGTAATAAAATCGATCGTGTGTAAATAATAATTTTATTTAAATATATCTAGCACAATTTGTTATTATTTTAAATGAAAAGATTAGATGTTGTTCACGTATACACATTTAAAATACCGACAATCCATATAGCAAATAAGCGCATACATAGAAGTTAATAATGTTAATATCCGTCTCTCAATCTACGTTGGCTGAATGAAGTTTGATGAAAACGGCCGGTGTGTTTAAATTTAGATCGTTACAATTGTGCCGACCCTCGTAGATCTATAATGTACACGAGGTAAGTGGCCCTTCCTGCAAGACGTACTTGTAGGAAGGGTTAATTTCTACATATTTCTCTCTCACAATATTTGTTATATTCAAAAGATAAATAATAAATATGATTTATTTTTTTCAAATTCGCTAGAGCTACTCTTTATAATAAATATTTATACGTATACATAATTCACCGATTATCCATCTTATTACCTCTGATATAATTCATGTACAATAAAAAACACTAGTATTTAATTATTAATATGCATATGTACACTAATGCCGATCAAGTGTTATCGAATTATTTAAATATTTTATTACTTTCACTTACTGTTATATATTTAAAAAGTAATAAATAAATTATACGCACTATTCAGGTAACAAATCAGGTCCCAATTCTTCTTCTCCAAAATCGTCGTCTCTTTTCCCGGCAGCAGTCATCGGACGTGTAGGTAATGGTCCAATAGGATCGGTATAAGTAATATCTAAAACAAAATTTAATAGTTGTTATATATCTTATATAATTGATAAATTATATTTTCTATTGTGCTTGACTTTATTCTTTGTCATGACTTAATCTAACGTTATATGAAATATATCAATGTTAAGAATAGAATCTGCAAACTAGTTAAAGACCCATTTATCATGTTGTTCAATCCATTAAGGAATCATATATACAGTCTATAAATCTCTCTAGTAGATATTCATCTTGTTTAAGATCATGCAGTACTAAACTATCAATAACCAATCTAATTTTACTCTAAAAAAGGCTTTTGTTAATTAACCGTAATATCAAAGAAACTTTTCCTTTCGAATGTACTCTTCTTATTCATCATTAATACGTAATTTAATATTCTAACAAATCTAATTATAACAAAAAAGACCAAGTTGTTTTAAAGTAATACTTACTAGCTTGTCCATCAAAATTCAATTCCATAGAACTGTCTCCTCTAAAAGTTCGAGTAGACCTAATGGCTCCACCGCTGCTAGATCCTTCGTTAGCTTTTTTTCCTGAAATAGGACTGCTTCTATGATCCGATAATACGCTCATCCCAGAACCAGCTCGAGAAGAATTATCGCTGTTACTTTTTCGCGAACCTTCAAAATAATATTTATTCTAACTTTTTAAAAATATATAGAGAAGAATATTAAAAAATACATACCAGTAGTACCTGGTCTACCAGATCCTTGTCGTTCTTTTAATTCCTTTGCTTTTTCTGCTTTCTTCAATTCAGATGCATATAATTGAGCTTCTTTGAGACCCATGTCGCTACATAAACGTACCAAAAATTTTAAACATTCAATATTATCTGGAAATCTTTTATGTATATCTTGATATTCTGAAAGAGCTTTATGAAATTGTCCAGTTCGTCTTAAACAAGCAGCTACTAATAATCTCCATCTAGGTTCATCAGGTGCAAGTTCCACAGCTTTTTCAAAATATAACATTGCTTTTTCTGCCACCTTTGTATAATAATGTAACATCAATATTTCTATTTTAATAATCAAATAAATAATATAAATATATATTACCTGCATAGATATAAAATACGATCCTAACCAATCGATCACTTCGTAATTAGCAGGGAAAAATCTATAAGACTAAGATTAAAAATAAAAAAATAACACCAAGAAGTAATATAATAATAAATAAATAAATTACAAATTTTACTTACATCACTATAAAATTGATATGCCTGTTGTTTATCACCCAAACTGTCATACATTTCTCCTAACTTTTGTAAAACTCCTGGATCTGATGGAATTATACCTAGCAATTGGTTATACCATTCAGCTGCCTGTTCTGTATCATTAATAAGATGATATATTTGTCCAATCTGATATAATGTCTGTGGATCATATCTGACAATATTACGTAATTTCCAAAAACATTCCAAAGCCTCTTCATACATGTTTTGTTTTTTATATACCAGGCCTATATAAATACTCATTAAGTAATACTTGTTAAACTTATAATAAATTACTAAATAGTATTATACTTACCCAAATTATAAAGTGCTTGCACATGACTAGCATCTGTATCCAATGCACATAAAAGAAACTCCTTGGCTATGTCCAATTCATTTTTTTTCATTGCACAAGCTGCTAAATTAACATAGGCAGCAGCATTATAACTATCTGCATTTCGTGCTGTTTCTGCATACTTCTCGGCTTGTTCATAATCACCTTGCTAAACAGTTCAATTATATTATTATAATATAAATAGCACACATATGTAAGAAAATTTAATTTATGTTAGATATCTTAATTACATACAAGGTAATAAATAAATGATAACATAGTTGATGCCGCGCTATTAGTTTTAATGTCACAATTTTGAAAATTTTTTAAAGTATCAATAGCTAGTTGTGTTTCCTTATTATGTAAATAAACCATAGCTTTATTTATTTCTAAATCTGCAGCTACAGTTCCGTAAGCAGACGATTTTATAGCATCCACACACCTGAATAAGAAACAAATGATAAAAGCATAAATATTTAAATAATGAAAAGCTCTCTGTGAACAAATGATACATTTTAATAAATACCAAGCAAATCCAGCTGAAACAATATCTTCAATTACAGGTGCTATAAGTTTAGCCGCGCAAAGAATAGTTTTTTCTCCTTCTACTTTAAGTTTCTTCTCAAATTTCGATAGATCATCATTTTTTAAAACTTCGTGTAATATATTTGAGTCTATATCATCCTAAATACAAAGATATAATTAACTTGAAAATTTTAATAAAATATCCATTTACTTTAAAAGCCAAATAACAGTTTAATATCAATTTATGAATAGCTCATATATATATAAAAAGATAAAGAAAAATCATAATATTTAATACGTGATAATATAGGGTGAGCATTACTAGCAACACATAGTGATTAAATGTAAACACACTCTATATTAACTCACAGTACTCGTACTATATTTGTCTTCTTGATCAATATTAAGCTGAACCTCTAATAACTCTAAAAATGATCGTTTCATTTTATCTCTATGTGATAACGCAAAATGACATAACACAGCATATAAGCCAGCGGTAAACTCTGCTCGTTCTCTCATAACCCATTCAAAACTATTAGCTGCTTCTTCTAAACGACCCATTTGTACAAATAACATTCCAATGTTATGCATTATTTTTATTCTAAGAATTACATAGAATTAATAAATGAAATATTGAAATAAAAGAAAGCCATACGATTTTGTTCGTTATCTAATACCAGTTATGTTAGTAATTTAATGTATCCGTTAACATACCTTAAATCCTTATGAGCTATTGGTGCTTGATCAAAAGCCATTCTATACATTTTAATTGCCTGAGATAATTGTCCCATTTGAACATAAATATTTCCCATATTTACTTTCAATCTTCCGCTGTTGCTGAACATTCTGTTTCTCGTAATAGCTTGATAAGTAGCTATAGCTTCAGTGTACATTTCATTATTCGTATATTGTATTGCTAAATTGAATAGTACCTGTATGTAAACAATATTTAAGTATTCATCTAAAAAACTAATAAGTAATAAGATAAAATTAATTTCTTACAGCAAATGTTAAATCAACGTTATGAGTATCGCTTAAACCAGCTTGTTCTTGTAATCTTATAAGAGCACGCTCTCTTGACGAAGCTTCTCTGGCTCGTTCTAAAGCGACACGCATGTTGCTACTACCAGCTGCATCAATAGAGTTTTCTATTAGTTCCATAATCTTTCTTTCACTTATTTTTATTTTTTCTTCTGGCCTTAAATTAAAAAAAATCAGTTGAATTAAGATATAATAAATCATAAAAAAGGAAGTTTTATAAATAATACTTACGTATGTTCTTTATTACTTTCTAATGGAGGAGCAGGTCCTTTGATACTACTGCTCATATTAAGAGGATCGAATATTTGTCTATTACTAGTATAACCAGCACCTCTAACTGCGGTCATTGGTCTAAGTCCGCCAGTATTGGGTCGCAGAGACACCGTAGTTCCAGCTCTATTAAACTAAAATCATAATATAACAATATAATAATATAATTATTCCCTTCACTGATGATTTTTTGTATTGTCATAATCATGTATTTGCTTACTCCAGTTGAGGTTCCAAGACGCATTGCACTGCCTGGGATTTTTGGAGTTTGCTATAATTAATGAATGATACACACACAAAATACAAGAAAAATTTATAATTATTGATAAATAATAATACATACTATTGATCTTTTCGCATAACTTGTTTTAACAGCTTCTTGAAATAATTCATCTTGATCAAGATCCTTAGTACTATAAACGGATGGATAATCGTCATAACCTGAATAAATGTCATCGTCAATAATTCCAACTGCAGCCATTGCACATAAGTTTACATTAATATTTTAACTATAATATTTATATTATATATTATTATTAATGTATATATATATTAACTATTAATTATATATTTGATATTATTAATATTATTAAAAAATGTGATGCAAATAACACTCTTAATGCAAGATAGCGTCAAATACAGGGACACTAGCGCACCTATCGCCAAAATATGGAAATAGTCTGCCTTTAAATTTATAAATGAAATGTTCTTGATAAAAAACTTGGCTTATTTGATAAAAATATTTTTCAGATATTATACATTTATAATTTGTGTTGAAAATGTGATCCCTATTATAATTATTATTAAAAATTTTCTTGTTTTATAAAATATTATTTTCATAAAGAGTGTACTTAAAATCTTATTTATTATAATGTTCAGTGATTTATAAAATAATTCCTTTAAAAGAAAGATTTCTTTTCATTAACAATCGGTAATTTTAATGAAACACGAAATCTTCTTCAATTTATTCATCATTTTTATTATCTCAAACAAAATTATAATCATGTTTATGAAGAACACCTAATTGTAAAAACGTTAAAGCAATTAATAAAGACCAATTCATTTGGTCTTTTATGGAATCTATTTGCTTATTATATGTTTGCATTATTTCTTGTTGTATATATACACTAATAGGATTTTTAGTTTTTATATTTGTACCATCTGTTTTACATAATAATCTTTCAATTACTGTCGCAGTAGACGTTATTTCTCGACCTATGTAAATGTCAAATAATTTTGCAATATCCTCACATTTCAATAGATAAATATTATTTGCGTTTGATAAAACTTCATTGTTTTCTACAATTTTAACATAGAAGCTATTAGTTATAACAGAAATACATATAAAAATACATTATTATTTTAATAATTATCATTTGATTAACATACCCTGCAATGATAAAGTCTTTTGTGTAAGAAAAGCTAGAATCATTGCTTTCAATTGCTCTTTCCGTAAAAATCTTTGTATCTGTCCTATAGATTTTACCATGTGAAAATTAAAATTTGTATCATTTACTACATAAATGTCAGCCTTGGGAATCTTATCATTTAATGTACAGGCCTGTCAAAAAACAAAATAATCTTATGTATTTTATCATTAAAATTAATGAAATTCTTAAAGTAATATAAGTGACTACAAAATATTATGTTATTAATGTTGATTTTTTATACATACACGTGAAAAAAGATAACATATATTTAATATTTACCAATTTAAGTAGTTGAGAAGTACTTTCATGTTTGGTATTTTGTGAACAATTTTCATAATTCCATTCCAATACTTTTTCTTTAGTTTCGAGTAACGTCCAACTAATAATATTAGGTTCTATATAGATCCCTAATATAGTAGATATTTGCTAAAATAATGTTAAATATAAGATCATATCATCATTACTACGTATATTTATTATATTTAAAAAAAGACTAAGCAATTTTTTTACCTGTTGTGAGATATTTCGTATCGAAGAGGAAACAATAGACTTTTTTAATTTTGTATCTTTTTCCAATTCTTTATTATTAATAATTGATAGTATAAATTTATCTAATATCTCTTTTGTCATACCTTCTATTTTAAATAAATCTTTTAATGATTTATATATACCATTTTTATCACGATATTTGTGCAATTCATAAGCATGAAATTGAGAGATTTCATACCTAGAAAAAATGACTTTATTATACGTTTTTAAGTATTTTTAGAATTAAAGGTAAATTATTATAACTAACCTTTTAAAATAATCCACTTTTTTATTATTTAATATTTTTAAAATATAATTATCATGGTCAGAAGTATAATTTAATTCATTAGATGTACTATTAGAGTACATTTGTTTTCTATAAGTATATATTATAGATTGAATTTTTTTTACAGATAAATTATAAACTGTATACTTTGTAAGCATATCCAATCTTTTTACTATAATCACAAAATAAAAATTCGTAAAATAAACATAAATCCTCTCACCCTATTCTTCAGACAACTATACAAATATTTTTTATGTAAATCAAAACTCTAATCACTTTTTAAGTTATATCAATTTATAATAATTTGAAATCAGATTATAAAATATATTATATTATTTTTACAATTGTAATACACATTATAGCATTCATTTAAAACTTCCTACCATATTAGTAAATATATTACTTACTAGACATGTTCATTTTTCAATATCAAAAGAATTCGTTTCTTTATCTAAAATATTAATATTCTACACGTACAAAATATAATTCACATCTTCATCATTTTTAAAATTAGTAAACGAAAATAATTACAATATAATTACAATAAATATTTAAACTCATATATATAAAGATATATTAGCATATAAATATATTTCATATAATAAAAATAATTTATATTCTATATATCAACAATTTTCATCCAAATAAATCTTTTTCTATTTTTTTCTCTCTTTTTCGATGGATATACATATATAAATATAATCTAGAAAATTCCGTACGATTAAAGAGAAATAATATCTTTAATCTTTTTTTGAGATCATGTTGCAATTAATAATTTAGAAATTACCAAATTTATAAATTAACAACTGATTTAAAATATAATTGATATTACGTGAGATCCGAGAATAAAAAAAAAAAAGAATGATATCAAAGGCAAGTAATATGTGCCATCTGCGGATGCAGATGGAAACTTTATTGGACCTTTAACGATATGATCAATGCTTGTATTTATTAATACAAATAGTACTTTTTTTATCAAAATCGTGGTACTTTCTGAAATAAGGATTTACAAAATTATTGTACATGAACATAGACTAGAAAAAATAGCATCATATTTTATACATTTTTAACAGTGCCATCTACCGCAGTAATAATAATTTTATTGATTATGAACACAAGAAAGTATTAATAATCTTACAATATTAAAACAAAAGAAATCAATCGCAAAGTTAATAATAATAATAACAGAATATTTTTCGTTATTATTAGTTGTTAACATATTAATATCACATAATGAAATTATAATTTGAACATTCGACGTTGTTCTCGTAGCTTTTTGGCAGAAATTAGGAACAGAAATTATTAGATCTTAAGTTTAATATATTAAGTAAAATTAAATAAAATTAGATTAAAATAATAAATCAAATATCATTAAAAAGATTCACATATGAATTGAATTAAATATAAAGAAATGTAAAGAAATGATTTTCCGGTATTGGCGCTAGTGTCGCTTGTTTCTTGTTCGGTGGTCGTTCGTCATTGTTGCATTGGCGCGAGAACGTTAGACGTGTTCAGTTTATATCGTGTTGATCTATATTAACGTATTGGAAAAGCTGAAAGTATTATTGTTAACATTAATATAATTTTGTTGAATTCCTTCCAAAGTTATACACTAAACAATTCAAAATGTTTTGGGGTAAATAATAGCTTTATTTATAGAAATATATATGATTTTTTGTCTTAATTTTGCCGGTACTGTTTTCACAAGAATGGGCGCCGCCATGTGCTTTCGATGATAATTTATATACATTTAGAAAAGGACAAAAAATACATAATATTTCAAGATTTTTTCTAATTAATTTAATATGTATATTTATTTTTTCATTAGGTTTGATAATGGAACCGAATAAACGGTATACCCAAACCGTTGAAAAATCATTCCACGTGTCAATGGCAGCTTTAGATGTTACAAGCGCCGGTAAGTTAAACATTTACGTTACATTCTAATTTTTGTATTTGTGTGATGCTTCTTTTTACACTGTATTGGATTATAATTTTTTTTATTTTTTATATACTTGATTATATTTAAAAAGTTACGGTAGAGGTTATTGTTACAGTTAGTAATAACATTTGGACAATTAATACAGTTTCAGATGACTAAGTATTTCTGAATAATATGAAAATATATCCTAATAAGAATTACTTAAATTTTTTCTTTCATAAAATAAACTTTTAATTAAAATTTATTTGTTTATATATTTACTGTTGTAGACGACGATGTAGTACAAGTGACCCTCTGCTATGATGGTTCAAATTATTTACTCTGTAGTTTAAAGAAAGGCATAGTGTGGCAAGTACCGCTTGACTTACACTTTCAAGAGGGAAATAAAATAGCATTTTCATGTAATGGCCAAAGTCGTGTACATTTAACTGGTTACTTAATACCAGAGGATGATGTAGATTTAGATGAAAATTTAGAAGAAGAGGAAGAGGAAGAGGAGGAAGAAGAGGAGGAAGAAGAGGAAGAGGAAGAGGAAGTGCCATCTCGTAAACGCCCAAAGAGAAAAGCGCAAGCAGCTTTACAAGAAAATAAAAAAAGTAAACGAACGAAACAGAAAGTTGAATCTTTAGATGATCAAGATTTAGATGAAACAAATGATGAAGATTTGGCTAAATACCAATCTATTTTAAGTGATCTTCAAACTTGTCTTTCGAGTGAAGGAGACGTAAGCGATAATGATGATGAAGATGATGATGATGACGATGATGATGATGAAGTTGATGATAGTGATAATAATGATGATGATGCTGAGGATGATGAAGAGGAGGAAGAAGAAGAGAAAGTACAAAAAAAATCTAGCAAACCACAAGGAAACAAAAATAAGGAAGTACAGCAGCAGCAGCAACAACAACAGTCAAAAAAAAAAGATAAACAAAAATTGGTTAATGGAAAGGTTGCCAAACAAGACCAACAAAAAAAGAATAAAGGAGAAAATCAACAACAAAATACTGCGAATGAACAGAAAAAGAGGGTACTTGAAGGAGGTGTAGTAGTAAAAGAATTAAAGAATGGTACCGGTGCACCAGTAAAGCCAGGAAAGTTTATTTCTGTTTACTTTGTGGGACGATTACTAAATGGAAAAAAATTTGACTCAACTACACAAGGAGATGGGTTTAAATTTAGACTTGGAAAGGGTGAAGTTATCAAAGGATGGGATGTAGGTATCGTAGGCATGAAAGTTGGTGGAAAGAGACAAATTACAGTACCTCCTTTTATGGGGTAAGTATATTTATTATGATTTAATGCACTATTATGTTGTGTTTAGTATGTTTATTCTATAAGTTAATTATTTTTTTAGGTATGGTGCTAAAGGTTTCCCACCTACTATTCCTGGTAACAGTACACTTGTTTTCGACATTGAACTCAAAAGTATCCATTAACATGTCATAATCTGATAAATATTTACATACTTCTCATAATTAATTTTAAAAGGTTTTATTATTTGTCTATTACCATAAAAGGATGTTTTAATATTTTTATGCTAATATATTATTAAATGTTTTATATTAAATATAATTTTTATTCTCATACTACGACAATATATGCATTTTTGTTACAGTATTGTTCAGATAATTTTATGTTTTTTTTGTGACATCCTTATATGTTAATGGTAAGTAATTTATGCTCAAATAAAAACTTATGAAATTTATGAAGGAACGCCTAAATAGGTTAAAGCAGTTTGAATTGTTAGATATACGATAAAACAAAGTGTTAATGTTTTTGATAAGAAGTTACATTAATGCATTGCATTTAATATGATTTATACAGATAACATATGATACAGCAGAGTCAAAGTACATTGTATACAAGTATAATACATTCTATATCTCACTATAATTAATTGTAACATCTTACAGATTACTGTTAAATATTATACGAAAGTAATTGACGTTTTCAAGTAAATTTTGCAAATATTCTAGTTCGCATATGTTTATTTAAACTTTTATAATAAAATTCGTAAAATCAACTTTTAAGTCATATGTATCATAAAAGTAATGTACACATTAAATGTATTAATTAATTGTATTCATCGAAATATCATGTAATAAAATTAAAACTTCAATTAAATATTTTTTTAATATAATTTATCTTTCATATTCATTGTGTTAAAGGTGAACTTTAAAATGTGAAAAATAAATAGAAAAAGGTTTGTACAGACTATTGTATCTGCATAGTAGCAGTCTTTGGAATGATTTGCTAATTTTTTTCAAGGAAATTTTAATCGACTTTTCCTATGTCTTCGTCCTTTTTCTTCCATGCTAATGTACATACTCCATTTTTACAATCTTTAACTAAATCTGATGTTGGTTCTTTTTCATTAGTACATTTGATTTTGTTTTTTAATTGCCACCATTTTAAAATAATCGGTTGAATTAAAAATCTCCATATAATTAATAATATAGGAACAGCAACGCATGGTACACATACCATTTTATTAACTTCTTTTTTCTTTATAATAACCTGTAATATGAAAATAATATTAATAATTTGAATATACAAAAATACATTATTTAAGAAACCATTTAAATGCAAATGATATTTGATAATCATATTTTAAGTACAATTTATTATTGTTTTATTAGTCTCTGATATTACCGATAGTTTATTTTTATGTAATAAATAAATATTTATTTAAAAAACAGATGAATAACTTCAATGTAACGATAAATCAGCAAGTATTAAGCTGAAGTAAAAATATCAAATATAGAGTGAACACCAATAATATTCTTATGCTCTTTTTCGTTGCGACAGATTAATAATTCCTATCATATCGACAGGCCTTAAGGATAGCGCAAAAATAAACCCTAAATAAAAATATTCATTGTAAAACACATCGTGTAGCTTAGTCACATGGCATAATAGTATAAATATATACATACAAATGTATTTTAATATATAATTAATCTTGTTATCTTTTTAGCATTCTCTGAAATATCACAACTATTTGATTTGCCGCTTTTTTGTTAACTTTTTGAACTGTATGGAGATTTTTGCAACTTTTCTAAAATCCCTATGAGACACAATTGGAAGTTTCTAGGAATATTTCTAATGTCCCAAGGAGAGACGTTACATATTCATTTACAATTGAAAAACTATTATACTTATTGACCAATCTAATAAGATATCGAAATCTATCAAAGTTTATTGTTTTCATGTTTTGTTTTTTAAATTCATATGTCTCCATCATAGTAACCAATTTAGTGGTTACTAGCATTTCAGTAAGATTCTAACCAATTTTATCTATAGAGTATACTTATTAATATTTTGTATTAAATACATACAAACATGTGTTTACTACGAAGAAATGTGTTCAAGTGTATCTTCGGTATATACTGATCAATTATCTTTTTTTCATTGAAATGAATATTTATTGTTATGATAAAAATTAAATTAAATTAAATTTAATTAATAATTGATTATATACACCTGAGGTAATATTTTGAAAATATTTGTTTGCGACATTTATAAACAAAAAGATACGATGTCAGGATTATACGAACAAATTAAACTTTTATACAATCAATCGTTATATTCCAATGTTATTTCTCTCGTAAGTTGAAATTTCTTTTTGTTATTAATTTAAGAATATACTTTATATATATATAAAGTTCTAAATATAGATTCGTATTTTCATTTAATATAAGTAATTGCTTTGTAATATTAATTTTTTATATAAAGTTTTATTTTTTTTAATTATTACCTCCATTGTTCTTTTACTAAAATTATTAATATAACTTACATATAATTTATGTTAAAAATGAAACAGATAATTGACAATTTATAATTTTTTTCTAGGCCAATCTGGTTTTATCCCTTAGCGAACATAATTCAGAACTTTTGCCAGTACATGGAAAGTTTCATGTTTACGTGTATTATGCGGATGCCCATTTTTATTTAGGAAAATATAGGAAAGCGGAAGCATTATATAAGAAAGCATTACAGTTTCGAAAGTGCCTTTTAAAATCTAAATGTGCTAGTAAGCCATTACAAGATGGTCAAAAAGATTTACCATCGGATATAGACATTAAATTTCAGATTCACTTATGTTTAATCAAGTTGAAAAATTCACAGGAAGCACTTCAAGTTCTTCAAAGTATTCCTGGTAAACAAAGAACTGCTAAGGTATAAATAATTGTTTATAAATTTGTTATTTGTCAGAAAATAATTTATTCTAATTTTGTTAATTATTGTTTTTCCTTTGCAGATTAATATGGCATTAGCAAAAATGTTTCACGAACAAGGAATGGAACGATCTGCTATTACAACGTATAAAGAAGTATTACGAGAATGTCCTTTAGCCTTGGAAGCTGCAGAAGGATTATTATCTTTAGGAATAAAAGGAATAGAAGTTAATTCCCTTATAGTTGGATGTGCAGCAAGTTTATCTAATTTAGATTGGTTAAATACTTGGATTAAGGCACATGCACAAATTCATAATAGAGAATATACTCATGCCGTAACGACATTGAGAACCTTGGATACTATTAATTTACTAAGAGACAATTTTAATTTATTATCAGCAATGGGTGAATGTTATTATTATGCAGGTGACGATAAAAATGCTTTATTGTGTTTAAGGAGAGCCCGACTTATAGAACCAGATGTTATGACAGGGTAAGAGAGAATATCTTTATATGCTAGAAACAATATTATAAACATGTTATATCTTATATTTGTATATTTTGTAGTGTCGATATTTATGCTGCTGTTTTATTTAAAACACATCACATAAAAGAATTAGAAAGGTTGATTTCTGTGATAACTACAAATAGTGAAAATATAGGTGAAATATATGTAGCTATGGCTTATTCTTTATATGCATCCAAAAAATATAATAGAGCCAATACGTTAACAGCACAAGCATTAAATCTAAATCCTAATGATATTGAAGCAACGATTTTAAGAGGAAATATTCTTATTGAACAAAAGAAATATCAGGATGCATTATTTTTCTTTAGACATGCTGTGCAATTAAAACCATATCGTTATGAACCGCACAAAGGTTTGATTGATTGTCTAGTCGGAATGCATAGATTAAGAGAAGCTTTAAACATTGCAAGTGGTTCCTGTAAGCAGCTTGGTCATACTCCTAGAGTATTGACAGTGAGTATTAAGAAATGCACTTTAATGAAAAGCCTATAAAAAATTATGATTACAAATTATGATACTAGGATTATGATTACAGTTATATGCTTCCGTACTAATGAAAGATCCTGTATCAGTCGGAAAAGCTAAAAACCTTTTGGAAAAAGCATTAGCTCAAGACGAAGTTCATTTACCAACCGTATACTTGTTAGCTGAAATATATGAACAAGAAATGAACTTAGAAGCAGCAATAGAATTACTCGAAAGGCAAGTTGAAATACAGCCTACTTGTAAATTGCATCAAATGTTAGGTGATCTCTGGGCAAGGGTACATAATGAAGAGAAAGCTTTAGATCAGTACGCTATTGCTTTAAAGTGAGTATTTTAATAAACACAAAATTCTATTTGAAATTTCAAAAAGTAGTTAATTCTAAGCTAATTTTAACAATATATATATATATATAAACAACATATTAATATAAGATAAATTATTTTTTAATTACGACAGTTTGGATCCAAGTAATAGAAGAGCGTTGGAGGGAATGCATAGACTTGATAATACTTCAAGTAAATTAGATTCAACATATTACATGACTGTAGGAGAAGAACAAGCAGATACAACTTATGACGTTGGAGATGGTTTACCAGATACTGATATTGATGAAGCACCCGATGAAAGCGAAACTGAAGCTGTTTGGTCTGATATGGATCTTGAGGCTAATAGCCAGTAATAATACAATTTGTTTATATGAAATGAACTAATTTTTATATGTAATTATTATGTAAAACACCATAGATCTATTATTAATTCTGAATCATGAGAATTTTCATCATATAATATTCTATTATTCGATTCTATAGTATTCCGTATGTATTATAGATCGACATAAGATTTACAAATAGATTTTTTTTTGAATTAGACTTCTCTTATCTGTTTGGAGATGTTATTTAAATGATTATGCATTTTGAAAACATTATAATTAAATTTATTAATAATTACTAAACGAATATAGCATCGTAATCAATAATACAAAACATTAGAATTACTTTAATTCATTTTGTAATTCGTAAGAATAATTTCTAATTCTAATGTTTATTTTTTATTATTGTTAATTAAAACAATAAGTATTATTTAGTAAGACAACCTTGATGCAATTCTTTATAATTACGTGATAATAATATAAGTATTGATTTTTAAACAACTCTAATAATAAGAAATTAATAACATTAACAAACCTAAGTACATTTAACGAAATACGAAGTACTTTTATACTTCGAAAAAAGTTAATAATTGGTATGTATATATAAAATATTTGTACAATAATTTAAATATTATAATTTTCCTCATGATAACAATTATTATGTTTGGCTATTATAGTATATCACTGCTGTTTAATTTTATTTTATTTTGTATGTATATATATATTATTTTTTCATATAGAATAGAATTGTGTTGCTGTTGAAGATTGCATTTCTATTTGACCCATCTTAAACTGTAGTCTGTGTAACCATCGTAAAAGTACTGCATTTGATTCTCGTCTGATTGAAACAAAATGTTCAGCAGTTCTATTTGGTGGAAAATCACGACAATTTTGTAATCGTACTTGTAAATGCCCTGGTAACTACAACACGTTTTAATTATTTATTTTTCTTATATACCATAATCATAAATCTTATTTATACATTTATTTTCTTAGATTTGTTTACTACCTGTGCATGATGAGAAAATAAAATAGGACTCCAAAGAGGTAATAATTTACTTAACACAATGGATCCGCATTCTAAAAGTGCTTCCAAAAGACTCAGAAAATGTAAGTTTACCATTTCTGCAAGCTAAACATTCACATTGATAATTATATTATATATATATTTAACAAATAATAATAATACTTACTATCTTTGAACAAGAAACCAATTGAAGGATACATGGTGTGATTTTAGCCCAAAATTCTAGCAGGGTATTCATGGTAATATTCTGATTCTCACTATTTGATGAATTATTTTTTGATAGTTCCTCCAAGTACATTGTCCATAACTACAATTTATTTATTAATGTTAAGCTAAGAATGATTTTAAGATTATATATCATAATTTGATAACATACCTGACAAAGAATAAATGCATGAAACAAAGATGTCATATGAAGCACAGAAGCTTTTGATTGTTCAGGAAATGCTGAAAAAATGATTTGTATATGATTTGCAACATGACAAGACATTTCCTGGGGTATTGGTTGTGCAGATGAGAATTGAGATCCATGACTTTGAGGGTTACTATTGCCAGCAAACATTGCTGTATGCGTAAGAGATCCAAGTAATAACCATGATAATAATCTGATATGACCGATACAATCCACATATTCGCGAGCCCTAAATAATTTTTATTATAAAATAACTACTATTAAAGTTTTTTAATTATATCAATTAATCGATTCAAATCACCCTTGTTGTATGATGGATGGTGTGTTGCAAAGCCATGGTAGATATCGCCCAACAGCTCTGTTTTCTCTATTATTTCCTTTGGTGATTTCTATTGCAACATATTGTGCCAAACCACACTTCAACATTCCACCCAACGTATCTTCATTCAAACCAGCTTGTAATCCTTTATTGTAACTCTAGAATAGACAATAGATTCGTTAGAATGATTGCAAAAAAGTTCTTTTTTTTGCGTTTCTATAAAATAAAATAAAAACCATATTACCTTGATCTTACTGAGGGTATAGAAATCTGCTAAAAATTCAAGGACCTCTATTAATTGACTTTTTAACGAATCCGACGCATTAGTGTTATAAATCGAAGAAACATCGTTTTGAATTTGTTCCATAGCAACAGTATTAGGTAAAGCACCTCCTACGTCCTGTATAAAAAAAAAAGTTTCTTTTTATTTGCAAAGATATGAGACATTCAATACTGTTATAAATAAATCGTTACCTGAAGTACAAAATGAAGTAATAACAATAAATTGGAATCTGGTATGGTTGTTTTAAATTTAATAACTTGAATTAATTCAAACACTATAGTTCTGCCCAAAAAATGCCTATCTCTGTCACGGGTAAATCCTTTATGGCAACAATAGCATAAATCTATTAAATTACTGTATTTCAATGTAGAATTCTGTATAGCATAGCTTAATACTTTAGAAAATGGATCTAACAGTCCCTACAATAAAACAAGATATAATATAATAAGATAAATATAATACAATCTATATATATTTGGTGCAACATTACTTTTGATTGTTGTATGCCCGGAACTTTTAATACAGAAATCATAATTCGTAATAATGGTAAAGTGTCTTCAATCGATGAGAGCATTAATACAAGTCTACGAAATAATCCATCAAATTGTGTTAATAATCCACTCCACGTTGCTGCACCAGGACCTAAACCTGCTTCCAATGGTAAGCAATCCAAATAACAAGCTATGTTGTGGAGTATTATCGGTAAACGTTCCACTGGTAGAGTTTTTTTTACATTTAAAGTCTAAAATACATTTTTATTTACAATCAGGGAGATAGAGAAAATGATTATTTTATTAAAAACGAAAATATTGATATTACCTCTAATAATAATTGCAAGGGTGCTATTGGATTCAATTCATTAAAATCGACTAAAGCTTGTGCAACACTTTTGAAGAATTGCATTCGTGTAGACTCTGTAAATGTTTATAATAATATATTGTAATATTGCGTAAAGATTATACGTAAATTTATGTACCGTACCGTTAAGGTGTGTTTGAAACATTTGCATAAATATCCCATTAGGTGCTAATTGATGAAGGACACATCTAAGAAATTGATGAGCCACGCTAATCGCACCACCAGGTAGATGCATGTTAGTTTCACTTTGCCACGGATACATAGCATGTAGAGCCACTCTAAAAGTTTATCATTTATCTTCGTTTATCTCTTAATTTTAGAATTAATAAATATTTCATTATTCACAATATACATTATACGTAATACTTACTTTGTTACCACTCTAAGAATTTCTGGTAAAAGAGGTGCAGCTAAGGATGGTTCGCGATGTATAAACGTTCCTAAAATAATTATACATAAACCAAGTTCTTCATCAGAGTATTCTTCTTTTACAGTTCCACAATCAGAGCATCTGTAAAAAAAGAATAAAAAAAAAACTCAAATGTTAAAATTTACAAAAAAAGCGCAGATAATATTTTATTGCAGATATACCTATCGTAGACACAGTCATCGCCAATACGAAATAAACTTTGTTTTAAATTAAAGTCCGCATGATATGCTTGTTGAGATACATAATCTAAATTTGATTGCATTTGTGGACCAGACCTGTAGCAATGTATAAATATAAATTTATTTCTTTTAATATTATTTTAGAAATATTATATTTGTGTGAATATTTACCATGAATCCATATGTCTTGTAAATGCTACATCCGAAGCTGTTATAGTTCCTACTTTCCGAGCTTTATCTCTTTGTATGCGTATCTGATCTTTTAATTTAGTTTTTTTCTCGTGCTCAAATATTCGCGAATTAAAATCTGTTCCCTCGATTGTTGGAGGGGGTGATTCTAAAGCTACTTGTTTGATTAATCTTCTAGGACTTGTTGATCTACTCGAATGTATTTCATTTGATGTTGGCACAAGTGAGGTAGACTAGAAAGTAATTATTTATTCTTATAATAATATTGTAATAATTTATTATTATTATTATTGTACTTAACATCATATTATTACATTTTAGACATACCATGTTTTCTGACGTAACGCTGTCTTGTTTTAAAGGAGTATTCGATTCATCCTTGATATCTTCAATTTTTCTATTAGTATCTAAATAAAAATAATATAAACAAGTAGCATGTTAAATTAATATATTTTACACAAATTTATTAAGAGATTTAAAATACCATCAATGTCAGGTACACCAAGCGCTTGTCTAACACGTTCGGCAAGACGGGATATATCCCTTTGCGGACCAACAGGTAAAAGTCTTTCAGGCATCGGAAATTCAAGCTGAGAAATACTTCGTGGACTAGTAACATCACTAGACATACAAGTTTCACTGTCTTGTTCAAACGATGAACCTTGGCCAAAATTGTATAATATATATTATTAGACGATTAATAAATATTTTTATATTTTATTTTTTTGTATATAGAGTAAATAAACTTACTGACTGTCACCATATCTATTTTAGAAAGGGGTGATTCCGGAGATCCATATGTATCCTCGCATCGCAATACACGCTGAGTAGTTCTAGAAGCTGAGGTAAGAAATTAAAATTATCTTTAATGTTTTTCTTATATCGTTAGAATTAGTTGTTATGAAAAATATTTAAATAGAATAAACCTGTTGGCCGAGTTGCTGTACCAATTGGTAATAATCGTTCGATCGTCGGCGTTACCATCGGAAGTTGCGGACTTCCCAACCAACTTGCATGTTGTCCATTTTCTGTGCTTGTAATTTGAGAAGATATAGAACTCATCGCTGGCGAACTAGATTGATCGCTGCTAGTAACTGTAATAGCTTGACACGGAGAAACTGGCGATACCATAGTTGTTGGCTGTTCCACATGCTTTTGTCGACCTAATTGTTTAGAGTTAGGTGAATCTGTCATTTTTGGTATAGAAGGAGGTGATTTTTCTGGTGGAGGTTCGTATCTATGATAATAAAAAGAAATAATTTATTCAAACAATTGTGTTAAATTTGAGATATCAATTGAAATAATAGTAGTATGTATACCTTTGAATATGAGATATACTTGTAGCCACAGCAAAGGCACTGGACAATCCAAATGGCCTTGTAGAAGTACTGTCTCCATTAAATGGCAATTGGCCTTTTTTTTCCGTGATTGTTACTTTTGATGGTTGTTTAGAGGAATCCTGTTGACCACCTAGAAAAGTACTTGTCACCATCATTTTAACGCCTTCTTGAACGCTCCACT